AGCAAAAGATCCACTCGGGTCTCCAAACCCCGATAGTCACTAAACAGTGCCGATACACACGACCCACAACCACAACATAGCCCGAATAGGAGAACTCCCAGTCTCCAACTCCATATAGCACACGAATCACCGTATCCAATCCCCATTTCCACCGTCCGAGTACATACCACATCTCTAATATCCAGCCATTCCCTGAGAGATACTCTAACATTCTTCTGTGCCTCCAAGCAAACTCAGATATCAGCAGTCGATCTAACAAGAAAGTGTCGGAATACTACTGAAGTACCCTCAACTTAATCACATTGCCTTTTTCTGAAACATATACCCTCGTCAAATTAGCTCCAACTAGCAATACCATTCCCTTAATCATCTGAAGGTCATTCCCCTAATCATCTGAAGATCATTCCCCTAATCGTCTGAAGCTCACTTCTCTAATTATCTGAAATAGCCCGTGCTGCCTAAGAATTTTATGGCGTTCCGTTCGGACTGAACCATAACCTTACCCACGCAGATCTCAATCCTCCACACATACCGCATATACCAAACCATTCTAAAATAACATGAGAATTTCATATCCTTTCCGAGCTACAAGCAACTAGGTACTCAACCAACCGAGAACTTTCCATTGATCCCGTTCAGAAGAAAATCACTACACATTCCTTGCTTCTCATGCCCATAGAAAGAATACCTCTCCAACCGAGGTAGAAACCATCAAGAACTCTCCAAGTTCCCCTTGCACAAACCAGACCTGCCAGGACTGAATCTTTCTGACTCAACCAAGCTACGCCAGCCATCAACCTAAGAGCATTGCTGCGAAATACCTGTAGAAATTTATTACCTCGTAAACACCCAAAGAACTAATCATATCTTTACCATACCGATCTGGCCTACAACCAAGCTATCCCATCAATCCGAGCTCCCTTCTAATTTACCTTCAACTTGATACTCTTTCTTGCTATAACATTGCAATTCCCCAACCTAGACTCACCACACGAGAGCCAAGCATAATACCATACAGTATAAGGCTCACAACCCGCTGAATTCTCTTTCAAATGTTCCCAAAACCACCACATTCAGAATACCTACCCTGAAAAGACTTCTTGCGAATCTGAAGACATTACTTTTCTAATATTGATGTATAGAATCCCATAATTGATATAGAAATGACTCAAGTCTTGACACCTTCCAAATGTAAAACCTCGGCTTCTAGCCACAAGTACAACTTGAAAGTCTCCAATTATTGCATGTAAAATTTTGAACACATTAGAACCATTCTCTAGAGTCATCCACTCTACCCAAACTGCAATTAGTCCGATCAAAAGAACCAAACAACCTGCGCCTCATTACCATTTCTGACACTGCGCATATAACCTTACCTTGATCCAACCAAGCCATTTTCTTTCCTATGCATTGAGCATTCTTTATCAACAACAACTTAAGACATTCCGTGAATTCTCACACACCTATGAAGCATACTATAACCTCTACCAAGAATTTTCCTTTACTCGAGCCATCCTCGGTCTCGATCTCCGTAGGCTATAACTGATTCACCAGCACGCCTCCAACTGGAACCAATGTAGCACATAACCGTGCAATCAATAACTCAATAGTAGACTCCCCCACTTGGCTCGAAGCCACAGATCAAAACACGCACCATAACTCATAACGCATATACTTTGTTGCTGCCATAATACCATAGTAAGATTTACTCAATCCTTCATAAGCTCGTGGAACACAGACCATCTAATACTTCATATCTTCTGCAACTCTCGTATTTACTCTCGTAACAATTAAACCCACTCTCTTAAGCGAACCCAAATTTAAATTTCAACACATATATTTTACTTGGAATTGAGATCTTCTAACAGACAACATAAGGATCGCACAAACTCCAGAACATTCCGCAGGAGATAACCCACCTGTTTTGCCTCAAACTGGCATTTCTGTATACCTTCCACCATCATACTCATCGCGCAGTCCCTTAATCTTCCTGAGTTTGAACTCATACCGCAACATGAAATTTACTTCACTCCCAACAAGAAAACATGAAAGGATTCATCACATACCCATAACTCGGGGCTATACCTCAAATCAAGATGGAAATCAAGCACCTAATAGTTCTTCTATCCTTCAGCAGACCCTTCTCGTCGCTTCCAAATCATACGAATACATCTCGTAGTCACATCACCCTCATCACGTAACTATTAAGTCATTACTCCTCTTAATAGGGACACAACAGAACATGTAGATCCAGAAACATGTGCTCACACAATCAGCACCTCGGTGCTCAAGCTATAGGCAAAAAAAATCCGGCCTCGAGTCCCCCAGACTAGCCCAACATCAGCACATAGAGATCACATCTCGCTCCTCAATCAGGGAATCACAAACCATCGATGCACATCTAATACTGAGCGCTCGTTCGTTGCATACGAATGCGTGGAAGGAATTCAAAGAGTTACTTTTCAAGCTGAATCAAGGACGCATGACAAGAATTCAAGAATGTGAAGTTTTTCCTAAAGGTTCTGCAGCCTCTCGAGGATAAATACAAACGTCTCTGTACCGATCCTCGAGACTCTACTAACCCTGCTCATGACTCGTGAGACCTATGTAACCTAGACCCTGATACCAACTTGTCACGACCCTAAACCCAGACCCAGTCGTGATGGCGCCTCTCATAAAGACAAGGCCAGCCGACATATTTCCAATTTAGTTTTTAAGCAATTAAACTATAAGCATTACGTCTACAACATGATATAAACTCAGAAGTAACAATGACTATACAAAACAATTCGCGGAATACAACCCAACTCAGCCCGATACCGGGGTGTTATTAGTCATGAGCATCTACTAAGGTCTAAATACAACTGACGAAGTCTGAAATGTACTAAGTACAGACTAATAGAATAAAGAGGGAGAAAAGCAGTGCTGCGAACGCCGGCATCTACCTTGCTAAAATCCGGTGACTCCGCCTTAGCTCAGCCAATGCCCGCTACCGGGTGCTGAAGTACCTGAATCTGCACACAAGGTGTAGGGAGTAAAGTGAGTACAACAACTCAGTGAGTAATAATCATAACTAAAGTCTGAATGGTAAGAAATCACGAAAAGTGCATCAACATGCTGTATAGAAGCAGTTCAAAAACCAGTAAGAAAGCAATGAAGCTGTAAAATTCCTTAAAACATCTTAGCTCAGTTTAAACTTCTTTGAAAATGACTTTTTCAATAGTTGCGTAAATGAATGCAGAACAACTAGTGCAGATAAGCACAGGAATCCACCCCTCGGGCACTAATACACAATTAAGCAGGTAATTGACACGCAAATAAGAAATATAAGCACATAGGGATCGCCCCTCGGGCAATATCCACTACCAGAAAATGGGCCTAAGGGAACGGTTTTTTGGCAACGGTTGTTCAACCGTTGCCATAGAGCATCTATGGTAACGGTTACAACCGTTACAATAGCATTTTGGTGATATCAGCACACTTAAGCTATATAACCGTTGCAATTGTAAAACAACCGTTGCTATAGATTAATCTGGCGCATCGGCTATATAAACCGTCCCAATAAAATTATCTACTGGAACGCTTTTATTGTAAAAAATTTTATTAGAACGGTTATTTTTTCCCTCGTTATTTTCCCCCTGAATTTTGTTACCCGCCAAAATAAGCCTTATTTATTTTATTTTTGAATAATTTCAATAATGAAAATATTATGTGAAAAGACTGTTTTTGCCCTTTCCCCATTAAAATATCGATACATCCAATATAGCTATTGATACCCCCAAATTAAGAACCCTAGCTCAGAGACTTAGCTTCTTCGATCCATTGCACTGAACCCTCAGAGACTTCTTCGATCGATTGCACTGAACCCTCAGAGACAGCTTCTTCGATTGCAAAGCCACTCTCTCCAAAAATCTTCTTCTCTCGTTCACTCTAAGAAATCTGTTGAATCTTCCTCTCTATCGTATTCCTCTCTCTCACTCTCTGAAATTGGGTTAATAGGTTTTTACACATAAGTTGCTGATTTAGTGGGTGTGGCAAAATTTTTGGTATCGTGAAGGGGGTGGCGAAATTTTGAGGCATCTGAGCAAATTTCCTCAAAATTGTATTAGAGAATATTGTGTTGATTATGCATAAGCCAATCTGAATCTTGATTACTGTACTGGAAGGTATGTAAGTCTGATGTTGTTCATGAACTGTAACTGATTTTAGTTGTTCTTTCTTTCTTTCTTGTATATGAATGTGACATATGGTTGTTTTATTCTTTGTTATATTTTGTCTTATTTGTTGCAGATAACAATCCATCGTTCTCTATCTTTTTACTTTGTCTGTTGATGCCTTCGGAAGAAGCTTTTTAAAGCATCAAACCAAAAATATTAAGGTAATGAATCGAGTAGCCTAAGACATGTATAAACCGCTTTTGATGTATTCTTTATACTGGACTATATATATGCAATCTAACTCAGGATATAAATGTGGATGTTAATGTAGATTTACGAGTGTCTGAGGATGAGCTTGCTAGAGTTAGCTCTGTTATTATATCATTTGGCAGGCTCTGAGCATACAACCTAAAACATAAGGCAATGCTTAGAGTTTTGTGACCCAAAACCTTTTTATAAATTCCTTTGTCTTTTATACATAACTGTTTAGAAGGTCAAAGCAGTAGTTCTTAGCCTATAAGTTTACTGCTTCCTGCTTGAAAGAGCTGAAGCTCACTTACTGAGTCTTCTTGTTATTTTTGGTCATGTTGAAAGGGGTGGAGAGTGGGGGTAGTCATGTACATTTGGGTAGTGCCCTTAGATTCTGATATCCCGCTGGCTGCACTGTCCAGACTGCCTGTGATTGATTTAAGCAGCCACGCAAGACTAAGGAATGGGGCTTAAGAGCTAATTCTACCAACATTTTTCCGGTGTGAAGGTCAAAGTCTACATTTCCGGTGTGAATATGATAAGTAATTCTGAAATATAGTCTGGTAGAGCAATGGGATCACAAGGCAACAATACTTGGTCATCAGATTCATAACTCATATTTGGTCTCAAAACATCATGATGTTGAAATATGTTGTCATTTGGCTTCACATCAGTGATTTCATGGTGTAATATGTGCATACTATTTGACACCTTGTTAGCATCATCTACGCATTCCAAACATCTATCTTGCACGAAGTCATTGTCCGAGGGTGCCTCAACTTTAACACAAGAACTTGTAGGCTCGAGAATTGGCTTTGAATCAATTCTCGTGCTGCAATTCAAACCTTTCATATCGTCTAAAGAATCGTCCACTTCCATTACTATTGATTCCATATTCAAGCAACAAACAGAAGAATCCTGCTGTGCCCCTGGATCCCCATCAGCTCTACCATCGGATCATAAATTCGTTGGATCATCCAAAATAGTTTTTTCATCTGTAATTGCAACCACACCATCATCTGGTGTATCTGATGTTTGTAAGTCAGGTTCAATTCTTGAATCTTCAACAGACGATTCACTCGATCCCAATGAAGTAGTTCGCGCAATAGAAACACTCGTCGAGTAATTAGCCAATTCGGAATTCTGTACACAATAATCAGGGAAGTTAAGTATAGCATTATGACCATACAGAACCTTAGCAGCCTCATCATAAGCAATAGCAGCTTCAACAGCTGTAGAGAAAGTACCAAGCCAAAGTCTCTTTCCATTACTATTATAAACAGGTTCTCTAATTTCAGCAACCCATTTTCCCCAAGTCCTTTGCCTAACCCATTTTTGTGCTTTTGAAAATGAAGGTGGTTGTAGTTAATTTTCTGAAATTTATTTGGATGAGGGTTTACATAGCCTATCCCAACTGGCTTAGGATTGAGTTGAAGTTTTTGTAGTTGTCCGGTTGGTTTATTAATTGAGTAAAGATTATGTTTTTCTGAGTTTACACTATTTACTTCTTTTGTCTAAGTATATGTTGTTTTCTCAATGGTCTTTCTGGAGTGCCACTGCCTGTATATGTGATGCTTCTGAAATTGAAGATGATTGTAATTTTTTTTTTTGTNGAATTCAAGCCTAAGTTTCTTAAAAACTTCCGAATTACGCATTCGATCAAAAACCCGACCAAACGATGTCCGAATGACCTGAAATTTTACACACATATCCAAAATCACCTAACGGAGCTGCAGCAACTCTCGGAATTCCATTCCGACCCTCGGATCAAAATCTCACCTATCAACCGGAATTCGCCAAAATACTAACTTCGCCAATTCAAGCCTAATTCTACACCGGACCTCCAAAATCAATTCCGATCGCACTCCTAAGTCACAAATCATTTCCCGAAGCTAACCGAATCACCGGAAATCACATCCGAGCCTTCTAACTCATAAACATCCGGTTGACTTTTCCAACTTAGGCCTTCCTTAAAGAGACTAAGTGTCTCATTTCTTATCAAAACCAATCCAAATCAACTCTAACACACCACATACCGATAACGAAACATGAAGAAGCATAAAATGGGAGAAATGAAGCAGTAACACTTGAGACGACGGGTCGGGTCGTCACACATTACTACTGATTCCATATTCAAGCAACAAACAGAAGAATCCTGCTGTGCCCCTGGATCCCCATCAGCTCTACCATCGGAACATAAATTCGTTGGATCATCCAAAATAGTTTTTTCATCTGTAATTGCAACCACACCATCATCTGGTGTATCTGATGTTTGTAAGTCAGGTTCAATTCTTGAATCTTCAATAGACGATTCACTCGATCCCAATGAAGTAGTTCGCGCAATAGAAACACTTGTCGAGTAATTAGCCAATTCGGAATTCTGTACACAATAATCAGGGAAGTTAAGTATAGCATTATGACCATACAAAACCTTAGCAGCCTCATCATAAGCAATAGCAGCTTCAACAGCTGTAGAAAAAGTACCAAGCCAAAGTCTCTTTCCATTACTATTATAAACAGGTTCTCTAATTTCAGCAACCCATTTTCCCCGAGTCCTTTGCCTAACCCATTTTTGTGCTTTTGAAAATGAAGGTGGTTGTAGTTAATTTTCTGAAATTTATTTGGATGAGGGTTTCTATAGCCTATCCCACTAGCTTAGGATTGAGTTGAAGTTTTTGTAGTTGTCCAGTTGGTTTATTAATTGAGTAAAGATTATGTTTTTTTGAGTATGCACTATTTATTTCTTTTGTCTAAGTATATGTTGTTTTCTCAATGGTCTTTCTGGAGTGCCTCTGCCTGTATATGTGATGCTTCTGAAATTGAAGATGATTGTAATATTTTTTTTTTGTAAAGGTTTGAATTTTTTAACTATTCATATTATAAGAGATAATTTTTAAGAAGTTAACTTTTAAAGGCCTTAAATTTCTTTACTGTTTGTGACTTTCTGAGTTCCACCCTTAAAAGCAGTGGTTAATGTCAAATTAATATGCTTTTGGTTTATTTGGTTAGTTTTGTTGATTTACTTTTATCGTATAGGATATCTATGGATAATGGTGATAAAAGTTGGATGAATCTATTGAGATGGACAGATGAGTATATCCGTGGAGTGAATGATTTTCTTGATAAGACGTTTGAACTAGCTGCCCAAGGAAATGAAATATTATGCCCTTGCAAAAAGTGCATGAATCGCTATTGGTATTATAGAAATGTGGTGGAGGATCATTTAGTTGTTCATGGATTTGTTGATGGTTATACCAAATGGGTTTTCCACGAGGAAGGATTTTCCTCGAGAAATACACCTCATCCAAGCAATGATGATGAAGGTTCTACCATGCGTGACGATATTGATGGACTACTTCATGATACATTTAAAAATATAGAGGGTTGGGCAGGGGATGAAGAAGGAGTTGGGGAAAGACTATCTGAAGATGCAAAGAAGTTTTTCAAATTGCTGGAGGAAGGAAAACAAGAGTTATATCCGGGGTGTTAAATTTCAGTAAACTTAGTTTCACTATTCGATTGTACTTGCTTAAATCCTTGCATGGGTTGAGCAATGTGGCTTTCTCCGATTTGTTAGAGTTGATAAAAGAGGCATTTCCCTTTGCTCAGGTACTGGAATCTTTCAACAAGGCTAGAAACATGATAACAGATTTGGGTCTTCATTATGAAAAAATACATGCATGTCCTAATGATTGCATGTTATTTTGGAAAGAAAATGCGAATGCCGATAATTTCTCTATTTGTGGGTCTTCAATATGGAAGAGTGATGGTCCTTTGACTAAAGCAAGCTCTAAAATCCCTGCAAAGGTTTTAAGGTACTTTCCTTTAAAGCCTAGGCTTCAGAGGATATTCATGCGTCCTGAAATGGCTGCTGCAATGAGATGGCATGCTAATGAACGACCCAATGATGGGAATATAAAATATCCTGCTGATGGGGAAGCTTGAAAGGCTTTTGATTCTTTGCACCCAGACTTCTCTAGAGATGCTCGAAATGTTAGATTGAGTCTTTCAAGTGATGGTTTCAACCCGTTTCGGACCATGAACATTTCTCATAGCACGTGGCCCGTTATGTTAATGAACTATAATTTATCACCGTGGATTTGCATGAAGCCAGAGTATATAATGTTGTCTATGATCATTCCAGGTCCATCATCTCCAGGAAATGATATAGATGTGTACCTACGACCATTAATTGAAGAATTGAAGGAACTATGGGAAACTGGGATAGACACATTTGATGCTGAAACCAACCAAACTTTCCGAATGCGTGCTGCCTTAATGTGGATAGTTAGTGACTTTCCAGCATTAGCAATGCTTTCAGGATGGAGCACTAAGGGGAGATTGGCATGCCCCACTTGCAATTATGACACATGTTCTCATTATCTCAAACATAGTCATAAGATGTGTTACTTGGTCCATCGAAGATTTTTGCCTCGTGATCATCCATTCCGACGAGATAAGAAGTCTTTTGATGGTAAGGAGGAGAATAGACCTGCCCCTGCTCCATTGTCGGGTGAAGAAGTGTTTGAAGAGCTGCTTGTAGTAACACTCAAGGTCAGTACGTACCAAATTTTATACATCTTCTTCTATTTCTTCTTCTCTTCCTTCCTTGCTTGGGATTTTGCATATAACATCTATCACTGCCGAGTTGATATAAGCAACTCTTTAATATCTTTGTCTGCGTGCTGCTTCCCTTATTTCGGTGCTTTTAGTTTTGTGTTCTCTCAAAAATATTTTAACTGGCACATACTAGGAGATATCCCTTTGGTTTGCGATATGGCATCTAGGAAATAAAGGTACTCTTTGATACTTAAACTTTATTTGGCTGTGTGGATCAATTAAGTACATGTAGTCTCTAGTTAAACTTGAAGTTTAATCCATTGAATCCCTTAAGATTTCTGCTAATAGGATATATTTATAGTACTAAAATCAATGCATTCAAAATGAGCTTCTATCTCATTTACATTGTCTTGATCTCCTTTGTTCACCAATCTTGAAACCAAAGACCATTTGTTAATTGGATTAGAAACTGGAGCTGACAAGAAAACCAACACCATTTAGAATACTGAAATTCCCATTGTACTAACTTCTCTTAGCACTCTGATAACAGCTGAGACAAGTTGAAGTTATAACAAATGTAGACATGTGAAAATATATTTGTTACGGAATTAAAAAGTTTCTCATTCTCATCCAAGTTCTTTGTCCTTTAAGCTTTCCCTCTTGATTTCCTCATAGGTTATAGAGATCATTTTTTCTACCATTTGTTCATTGAGTCAAATAGCTTGCAAATTCTGACACTTCCTCTGGTGACTTTTTTACCTGAACAATCATTGATTTTTCAGTCTCTTTCGATTGGATTTGCACTTACGATTTTTGGAACTTTGGATGCTTACCAAAGTTTAACTTGCTTGAGAAATGGCTTCTCAAACCACCTAGCCTCTCTGGCTGCTAAATGTGATTGTTTCAAGAGATCTTCTGGGTGGTGAAGGCCACAGCTCTCAGTCCCCCTTACCCACAGTCCTTTTATTTGCAGTTTGGTGTTGTGTACACTATTTTGGATACTGATCTGAATGAGATCATTGTCTTTGAATAGTTTTATTTCATGGGATGTCATAAATCTTTAAAATTTAGACAATGCTAATGCCATCTCTTGATTCTTCTGGCATTGCTACGATCAGTGCTGATTATTGAAATTGTTACAAAGGTTCAATTAGAAACTCCTGGCATGGAGACTTCTAATGGAAACACCTGTAGTTTTTGGGGCCATTTTTTTGAATATGATATATATTTCGCTTTTTCTTGGATGTCTTTTAAAATTGTGGACATGTGGTGTTTATTCAATTGATTCAACGGCACTTAACTTAGGAAAATGTTTGCTTTTGTCAAAAGGTGAAAGGTATAGGCTCGAGTCGTCTTTGTTATATTATATTCAATTTTGTGTGTGTGGGATTGTTTGGATGTGGGATGGTGCTCTCTAGGAGGGAATGAGTTGAAGAATTTACATCTGACTGCATTTCTTTTAAGGGTTGTGGTTGATGATGCAGGTTTCCCCTCACAGTTTATGTGAACATAGATTTTGAGACTCTACTTGGTTCACTTCTTTTGTATTTAATTAGTTATTTACTTCTCTGCGCAAGGTTCATTTTGGTAATAATTTTACTTATCCTCTTTTGTAGGTGGAGTAGATCAAGAAATGGATGATAAAGACGATGAAGAACTAGACCTTACTTGAAATGAATTTTGTATTGTTATAGATGGATGTTCTAGGAATCTTTTATTACCGAAATTTTTGAAACTTATTTACTATCTTTAAATGTACTAAACTTATGCACTCATGGGGTAGAATATTTGCTTTATGGATATTATTTGCTTGATGGATAATTTTGTATTATTAATAGTTTCATTTTATGATGTATTTAAATTTTAGTGTTATTATAATTTATTATATGTATAAATATTTATTTATAACAGGTGCTATATTTTGGTTTTAACTGAACTGATACAATACCCTACCAGAACCGTTGCAATAGGACACTAATGGCGTTCCAATAGACAATGTAAACCGTTGCAATAGGTCCCATAAACTGTTCCAAATATAAATATAACCGTTACAATAGCCTACCAGAACCGTTGCAATAGGACACAAATGGCGTTCCAATAGACAATGTAAACCGTTGCAATAGGTCCCATAAACTGTTCCAAATACAAATATAACCGTTACGATAGCCTAAAGAAATCGTAGCTATATCCAACATAACCGTAGCAATAGCTTACATAAGTGTTGCTTTAAATAATATGGTGACGGTTAAAAACCGTTGTATAAACAATACAGCAACGGTTCTAAACCGCTCCAATTGAAACTAATAACCGTTCCAAGAGAGAACGGGAAAACCGTTGCAATAGACGTATCTATTGTCACGGCAATGCAAACCGTTACAAGAACCGTTCCAGTAGGCCTATGGGTACGCCGGCTGATGTGACGGTCTTTAAACCGTTCCAATATCTCTATGGCAACGGTTTGGCAGTCTGTGGGAACGGTTTTGCAACCGTTACCGTAGACCAATATTTTAGTAGTGTGTGCGGTCCGCGATCATACTTGTGCGGACCGCGTTAGAGACCTCTGCGGTTGGGGTCCATTCTACGTGGTCCGCGGAGACGAAGTACAGAGAGCCCAGACTTGAAGTCCAAGAGCCTAGTGCGGCCGCGGTCCATTTTGTCCGGCCCGCACTGACCCCGCATGGGCATTTTTTCCAGTTTTTCTAGCTTAGTATAAATAGAACCTTTTTCCATTTTTAGGGTATCAGTTAATTCCAGAACTGAGCTGCGCTCGTGAGAACCTCAATTGTAGCCATTTCTGGCATCTTAGCTTCAAATTAACTATGGATTCTTGTATTTTAATTTAGCATTTAATTAATATGTCTTGTTCTTCATCTAGTTCTTCATTTTCTCCTTCAAGTATGAGTAGCTAAACCCATTAGCTAGGGTTGTGGCTCAATCCTAGTGTGGGTAATTGATGGGTGCTTCCATCTAGGGTTAGATTGACTATGGGTGTTTGCTATTTGGGTTGATT